ACTGTTAAATTATATATAAATCATCAAAGAAAGTTAAATACAGTGTTCGAATAAAGGACATAATAATGCATCGTTTAGCATAGCTCTCAACGAATGAAGTCCTGTAAATAAATGAATAAAGAAATTGTGTAATAAAATGCCTCTGGCGGGACTCGAACCCGATGTATTATTATGTCCTTTATTCGAACACTGTATTTACCTTTCTTTGATGATTTATATATATTTTAGTGGCCCTTGGAGCAAATTTTAAGAATAGGCCCCTCTAGACGCTCGGAAATGGAACTCTCGGAATGTAAAAATGCTTTTTCAAAGCATTGTTTCTCGACAAAATTATTGACTTCCTCCCGACGGCAGTTATGCTCCTTCGTATGCTCCTCCTCTCTTAGATACCCCTGGGACGGATGAAGGATTTGGCGGTAGGGGGTGCGTGAGGGTCCACCTCTCTGCCCCCACCATGGTTTGGGCTGAGGGAATAGACAATTTTGAGAATAGGGACCTCTCAGGCGTTGATGCAGAGTTTTTGAGAGCTCGGTTTCCAAGAATCGCTCACCCTATCGCCGACAGTCGTGTCAGTTGTGGTTCACAGACGAATCGGGGTGCCTTTCCGATTGCGCAAGGCAGCTAGCAATGCACCCTGATTCGTCTGCGTCTGCAACGCATTCGGAAAAGTTGAACCAGGTTTAACCTTCATGATGACGTCGGCAACTGTCGCCGATAAGGAGAGCGATTATATGGAAACCGAGCTTTACCCTGACTATCGCACATAATGTGTTCCCTGAGTGGGCGGGGTCATGGGAGGAAAATCTAATGTTTGTCTGTTCCGTCGCTGGAAGATTATTTTACACGTGGGGTGGGGTGGGGGGTGGTTTGCAGTATAGTCTTGGGATTCTCCTAGCTTCGCAGAGTTTTGTTTTTTCTAGATGCTGAGAAATGCATTACGAGACTTCTATTGATGAATGAATACACACTGAATTAATAGATTTCCCCCATTTTAGCAAATAATAATTGCGATGATGAAGGTGATGATGATGATGATAATGTGATGATGATAAGGAGGAGAAGGCATTGTAGCAGGTGACGACAGGCTCCTGTGCAAGGTTAATTAACAGGCCTTTTGATATTAGTGTCAACCGAGGGTCGTATCCCGAGTTCGTCATCACATTTTCAATGCACACAATTGGACAACAGTAATTATCTATAAGTTATATAATCAGTACATTCTCGACTGTCATGAAAATATATATCTAAAAAATTACGTTATATGCATGCTCGGAAGCGGAAATTTTAACCTAAAGTTTGATATAGGCCCTATGTTTCATGTTGTTTGTTGAATGGTCTTTAGTGATATTATATTCTAAAATGACCACAATATATGGAAAAATCACAAGGAAATCCGCTCTATTTCCAAATTTCAGGAAATTGTACGTTTTATGCATGCTTCGACGTGGGAATTTTGTTTTATGTTGTTTGCTAAATGGTCTTCTTTAAAAATATAACAGTCTAATATGACCACAACACAAGGAAGTTCATTCGTTAAATGTTTAGTAGATAGTACAGAGAATTGTGATTGTTTATCAAAATCATTACAGTATAAATGGTCGGTGGCCTGCGGATTTTAGCAGGAGAACGCGTAGGCGTTACTCCATGCTGAGCATGGATAGCTGTTCTATAGCTGGGTACTACATTCCGGCTAAAAAACTCTGTCTTTAGGTCTCCGCCTTTTGGCCTGAAAAGAATGAGATCAAATTACCTGATCTTTTTCAAGAGGAGAAAACCTTGAATTTTGAAGAACTTAAAGATCATTAAAAACTCCTCAGAAGTCGGAAAAGCTAATTCCCGGCCATCTAGGAATCCAAATTTTCCCGGGGAAGTTCCCAGGATCCCTTTTAATGTTGGGGTTTTTTTTTTTATAGACATTAAAAATCAAAACTAGTCAGCCAAGCGTGACGTGGGCATGTTCCATTAATGATGGGGGAATCATTTTTCGCTGCAGTCCAATGCCTTTAACACTTCCCAGTGGGTCTGCTAATTTTTAATGGTCAGGGTACCGCGAAAACAAGCCCTATGCTAGGCATTATAGGCTAGGCTTATGTGGGCTGGGATTTGCAACAAGGTCTTGGACTAAGTCTCTATACTATAGTAGGAAGCCTGGTCCTAGTCTAGACCTATAATATAGTAAAATTCTGTATAAGTAGTCATATGATTACAGGTTTACATTGTACCAAGATCGATATTAACGATCGCATTTATTTTTCATTGAAAATAAAAAAGTAAGCTTTAAATGATTTAACTTAAAGATTTAAAAATATTCCAAACCTGTACGCTTAAAAAAAATAAAATAAAAAATAAATAAATAAAGTTAACTTATAACACAAACAACGTGATAGGATATAAAATTTGCCATTCGTTTTGGGGTTACTACAATCAGGAGTTACAATCGATCCAACAAATATAAAGTACTATCTATTTCCTTACATTCCAAAAAGGAGGATTTTGGATGCTATTTAAATTTGCTGGAGATTGAAAAATTAACTGTTAACTCCGTTGTTAGAGAACATAGAGTGGTACATAACTTTTCAGACTGGTATAGTCCTACAGTAGGTCCTATGTACTCTAGGTGTAAATAAACACAGAGAATAGGCCAATTTTAGTGGCCTATTATGGTATAGGGGATGCTTTCTCCCTAGAAAGTTCCTACAATTTTTCTGTTCCACAAAGATCTGTTCTCGGGCCACAATGGTTAACAATTTATATCCAACCAATTCGGGATATAATTATCAAATATAATTAATTTGTCCTATCATGTTTATGCTGACGATACACAGATTTAACTTTCGTTTAAGCCGTCCATGACACAACATTATATAATTACTTGAAATTGCATTTCTGAGTTGCGTGTTTGGAGAAAGCAAAATTTTCCAAAAATGAATGATGATAAAACTGAATATACTTATTGAAAAAATCTTCCACTGAGTAGTAATTTATTTTTTGGTGAAACCCAAATTGACTCTGCTGCACAGGTCAGAAATATTGGTGTCTATGGATGCTAAACTATGAAAATGAGTAGACATATTTCAAAAATCACTTCAATACGTTTTTAAGACCAGTGGATGCTTGTCAACAACAAATCGTCTGCATAGAAAAATATATTTAGGCTATACCATTGGCAATCAATCCCAATCGTCTTCGTTAAGGACAGTATTGATATTTGATGTTGATTGTTTTCAGATCCAGTTTTATTGCTCTTGCTCATTACATAAAAAACGTGAAATTTAATCAGGGAATTGAATGAACAAACACACAACCTATCATTAAAAACATTCGCAGAGATAGTGTAAAGCTATTTGTGTTTCATTATGAAGAAAACGGTCACCATTGCTAATAATTGTGCACACCTACTAAAATATGTAGTTTTTTTCCTACAAAAGATTTACTTGTAGACTTTGTTTAGATAGTGTGTCTTGATTCTTCATAGAATCCAAACTATACAACTAAAGCAATAACGAGTCGGAACATTGATTATTAAAATTATCCTTACACCAATGTAAAATCCTATCAGTAATTTCCTTTCTGTGTTCTGTTTCCACACTTTTGTGATATAACCAGTTACATCACATGTCCTCGGCAAGTTTACAGGTTCCTTACACCTCAAATGAGGATAAAGAAAACAACAAAGTTTATAAGACGCATCCATTTAAATACAATTTTCTCACTTATTTTCAACATTTAATTTGTATCTACCTCAATCGTCCATAACATACAGAACTATTATAGGTATTAGTGTGTCAAAACAATTAAAACATTTAAATCATTCTAGCATGCAGACACTTGTTTTAACACCTCTACAGTAGATAAGACAATAAAAATATTCGAGTTCGATTATTAAGCCTATTCGGTGAAATAAAATATTAGTTGTAAGACGTAGTTTTATATTAGAGTCCGAATGTTAGGCCTATATAACTAATGGAATAATATTAGATTTTTACCATTATCATGAATACATTGAACACAATTTTAGTTACGGCATTCCTCTTTTCCACGTGAAAACAATGTTATATAAGTTTTTTTTTTTTTTTTTTTTAAAAACCTTTTAAATACGGTATTTTTAATAGGTAATAATTGATTACTATTAGCAGCAAGTGGGCCGGTACCTAACATCACGTTTATGTATAATCAATAGGCCAGAAGACAATAGAACTTAGCTGCGGTGTCAGTGTGAGTAAAGATATAAGCTGTTATGACCCTATTGGCACACCATACATTTATTAGCATAACAAACCCGGTGGCAGAAATGAGCGGCGACCGAAATGATCTGAGACCCTAATTTGTTTTAAAACAATCAAAATTATTTTTCAAAATTATGTCTGAACGCCAGACCCCTTCACCGGTTTATTTCATCCCGTCTAATGAACCAAATTTTGTCACAAAAAAGAATTTACATAACAAAATATCAGAAACTTAGGCCTACACAATGTCGGAAAGGAAGGTCCCCCTAATTGCTCTTCCCTAACAACAAACTCCCTGAAAGTCAAATACAAAATACTATAACAGTGTATATAAGAAAAGAAAATCATAAGGGATTGCCAGCCTTCAGGCATACCCCTTCCTCCCTCTGCTCATACCCTTCAATAAGACCCATTTATTAAAACGTACACATTGCAAGTGCATGATAATGGTTTGTTAATATTTAGATATTATTTTTATGAAGATGTTTTTGCAAATATATTTGATGTTAGTGTACTTTGCCAGAGTTTAATTTGGAAAAAGAGTGAATGTTTTTGTCTTAGATTTACATCCTGATATTTTAGTACATATGGCCTTTGTTTTAAATATATCAATACATTATCAAACAAGAGCATTCACAATGTTTTTATTGACTTCTGAAGTCGTTTTTAATCTTGTCATAGATATCGTGTATCGTGTGATATTTCTGTTATAATTTGGATCTCGCATTTGTGATGAAATGCATTTTTTGTGCAAGTAATGAATATTTCGTGAATAATAATTATAATTTCAGGGCAGGCGAGTAATTGTAGGTGTAATCTATAACTTTCATTTTATGGCATAATGTAAACATGGATGAAACCCCACTTGACCAATGCAGTCATGCTAATTTTATTGTTATTGATTTGTTTGAGGTGTTGACATGAAACCTGGAAAAGAAGGTGGAACCTGGCTGGGTATCTCAACAAAAGGCAGAGTGGCATTTGTTCTGAACATCAGAGGAACTGGTAACCCTGATCTCAAAGGCAGAGGTTTGTTATAAGATTCTTTATAAAGACCTTTCAGGAATGTCAAACACTCTTACAACTGACCCAATCAGAACAGGGCCAGAAATGCGTGCGCGTCTAGCAAGCACATGTGCTCTCCCGCATACGCACGTGGTTGCGTATGCTTTAACATTAAGGCCGAACTTTTGATTTGTGCGACGACGCGACGCTAGAACGGAATTACTCATGCGTGATTGTCCACCGGGCGTCCTACGTTCTCTCTGCGTTCGATCGCAGATTTGGCCAAATTTCGTCCTAAAATCCACGCGACGAGGAAAACTTAAAGGCCGTTTTTCACTTGACGAATTTATTCGCGCGGAACGAAAATTTTCGTATATACGCATGCCCAGTTTTTTATCATCACGGGATTCTCAAATGCGCATGCGTACGGGTACAAATTTTCGATTCCCAAGAATAAATTCGCCTAGTGGAAAACGGGCTTAGTGGTAATTGCTGGGGACTATTAGTAAAGCGCATACTGATGGTCTCTATGCGCTGTATGATTAAAAAAAGAAAAGAGGAAACAACCAAAAACAAAATCAATCCTAAGTTTAACCAATGTTAATAATACATACATTACATCATTTATATAGCGCTATATAATATAGCGC